TTTTTAATATTTAATCTTTTTTTTTTTCGAATTATTTGGATGATGAAAATGGGTGATTAACGATGATTTTAATTTGTTTATAAAAATGATAAATGGTATAAATTGTGAGGAGATGACAAGAGAAGTCAAAAATGCTTCTGCTTGCGACTGCCAAATGCCAAAGTGCTAGGAAATGAAGCAGGACACATCTCTACCGTGCGGTTTGTGCCCGCGGGTCGTTGTCCAAACGCCCATTAGTATTGGGACATATTCTCGTGGCACATTGCGTACGTTCAGCATGTCACTCAAAGACATGCGGGCTCTGTCAGGCACCCATGCACCAAGAGAGCCTGGTCTAACACCTTCCATGCCGCACGAAAGGATGCACACATGCACGTGTGGGGTTTGTCTAGGTACGCCCGAAGTGTCAGGACAGCACGCAGCACACCCTGTGTGTCACGCGGTTCTGCCAGGTATTGTGCGTCAAAAGGGCAGACTGTATCGTGCGAGCATATTGGGAAAATCCCCCTTTTGTGGGTTTTGCACTCCAGCATTTCCTCGGGTCGAAACAGGCCCAATGGGCTAGGTTAATGTTTTAAATAAATTGCAAACAAAATTAATTAATTTAATTAACCAAAAAAAGATTTTGTTAATAATGGGCCTAATGGGCCGAATTAACGGGTTTTAAATAATTGGAAAAGAAAATTAATTAATTTGATTGACCAAAAATGGGTTTTTATGAATAGTGGGCCTTAATTAAGAAATAAATTGGACTTTTGTGGTTGTATTGCAAATAAAATAATTGAACAAACTTTTAGAAAAATAGGAAAAATAATTAAATAGACTTTTAGAAAATTAAGGGAAATAATTAAATAGTCTTTTAGGAAACTTGAGAAAATGATTAAATAGACCTTTTAGGAAATTTTAGAAAATAATGGGCAAACAGATTTAGGGTAAATTCTTAACAAAATAGGCCTTAGAGCAAATAGTAACAAATATGGAGTCAAGTAAAACTTAACCAATAAAGAGTCTGTAAATCATTTACCCGTTATCATGGAGGGGCATTGTATTACTATTGTTTATTGACTGTTGGTGAACTAGCCTTATGAATGGGCGTTGTATTAGCATCTCTCTATGACGAGATAGGTCACTATAGGTCACTATGGCGAAGTACTACTGTGGTCATAGGTTATTGCTACTATTATTGATGTTATTGTTACTCAACTATTTCCCATTCATAGTGGGAGTTGGGGATCCCCTCTGCTCTCTGTCGATATAGATTTAAATGGCTTCGTATGAAGGTCTGTAAATAGTGAAACCTAATTGAGTCAATAACTAAATGAAAAAGGCTATCAAAGAATTGTCTAAATAATGTACTATATAGAAAAATTATAATTATTTTGAATTAACTTGTACTGTACTAATTGGATTGCCATGATAATGGATGGAATGGACTAATCTGTTAAGGGTAGAAATGAAAATTTCTATTATAATGAATTTAAAATGAAAATGATATAAAGTTTTCAGCAGTTTCTAAATTAAAATGCAATTGCATTATGAAATTTTTAATAGTCTCTTATAAGTAAACTGTTGTTTTGAAATGATGACTGTCGAATTTCACTAATTGCATTAATTAACTTTTCAAATTATCCTTACTGAGTTTCATGGAACTCGCCTCAATCCATTCCCCCTAAATGAGGAAACAAGTCTACTCCCAAAAGTTTGTCTAGATCTGTTTCAAGATCAATAGGAGTTGAGTGAAATGAGAGTTTTTTATTTTGTGAGGCTAGTACTTTGTAGGATAACTAGAACGATTATTTTGTAATTTTATATAGTTAATCTTGATGCCTCAATATACACTATTATATTTTGTAAGGGATAAATGTATTCCGCATTTATTCTAAATGCACTCTTTTGTTCTGTGTCGGACATTGTTGCCCATGGGGTGGCAAGACATCACATGATGTGGGCCAAGTAGACACGTACTTACTATTATTTTTAAATAATGGGACTAGGTGTACCCATACTTATTATGATTATGCAATGAATAGGGGTCAGGTATGCCTGTACTCATTATAAAATTGTGAAAGCATAGGAGTCTGGTATACTCATAAGCGAGTATAAATCTGTCAACAAATAAGGTCTAAGGGTGTCCAAAGATTAAATTTGTTTGGAATGAGGTAACCAGGTGCTTCCAAAGGTTTATTTAGAAGAAATAAAAAGAGGGTCAGGTGAGCCATACACTATGAAATATACGAATAAGTGTATATATATATATATATATTAATTGTTAAGTACTTTAAATTAAAACTAAAATGTTTTGTTGAGCTTTATGTTTTGTGTAAATAAAGTACCTTCTTGAGTTAATTGAATGTCATATATAAGGTTAAAATAAAATGAAATAGTTCTAAAAAAATACGATCTTATTATTGTCAGTATATGAGCTCATATAAGTCTATATACGTGGTTGGTTGACAATAAATATATTGATTTATGAAAGAAAATGTTTGTATGCCTAGATATATAAATACATGTATATATATATATGAAAAGATTTATAATTGATTCCCCTAGTGAAGTGATT